AAAAAAAAAAAAAGAAGAAAAGAGGAAAGAAAGCAGGGGAAGACACTGGGAAAAAGAGCCAAAAAAAAAAAAAAAAAGCAAAGTTGCTTTCTTGAGTTCTTATATAGCAATGGGAATTGAATTTGGGAACATGCAGTCTTTGTGGCCGAGTTCCAGCACACTGTGCTTCCTAACCTGACATGAGAAAAATGAAACGCAGCACTTTATTAACCATGACAGAGAATCTATGTGCCAACCTTTCCTTGAACATACTTCCACACTGACACACACACATGCTAGTGCCAAACAGCACTAAAAAGCACAAGGAATCAGACGTGAAACGGCTCTGTGTGAAGAAATTTGACAAAACTGTTGTCTTACAGTCCAACTTGACATGGTCTGATTCTGTCTTTTCCATTCCTTGATAATTAATGCTGCCAATAGTGACTGAAACAATATTAAATAACATCTCTCATCATATTATATACAATGAAGTACTGTACAACTTTTGGCCTACATAAAATGTTGCTCCATTAATGACTTAAATTATGCATTTATTTAATTGGACAGGCAAAGGTTGACTGTCTTCTATTTGTTTAGTTATTTGATCTCGATTTATCATATTCTTAAATCATATTCATACATTTTTTTTATTTTTTTTTTAAATATGAATCACATATTGTTTTGCATTCATCAAGTGCTTAAATATTTATCAGACTGATTTAGGCCTTGATTTTTATTGTTTAGCATCATAAAATTTATTAAACAAAAATCAAACAGAGAAATTAGGATGATAGATAGATGGATAGATAGATAGATAGATAGATAGATAGATAGATAGATATGAGCATGAAACATTGCTATAAGCCATAACCTGGTGGGGAAAGGTAAATGCTAACTGAAAAAGAGAGCATGGACTCACTTGAAGAAATCCTCTTTGCAGTAGACATTCCCCGCGCGAGAAAAACACTTGTCTGCCAGGAGCGCGTGACAGTCGGCGCACTTGAGACATTTTGAGTGCCAATGTCGATCCAGCACCTTCAGAATAAACTTATCCAGGATGTGTTGACTGCAGCCTGCGCACTGAGGGATCTCTGGAGAAACACACGGTCAGAAAGCGATTAGGGTGAAATGTGCTTACAGAAATAGGCTACAGAACTTGATTTTAACAATATTTATAAGTAAATAAGGTAAGGCTTACTGATAATTCTAATAGGTTTCCTAATTTTAAGTCTATAACAAATATGGGTACATTATATAATGCTGGAGAGCCTTATATTGCACATTCAAATGAATAGAAATGTCGTGAATTTACGGTTCAAGCTTCATATATAGGCCTATTCATACACTCTGTAATAATCTAGGGTATAGACGCAGTAACGATCATACTACAGAAAGTTCTTAAGTAAAGTGACATGAAAAAATATAATTGCAAGTTGCTTGACTCGAACTTTTTTTAGCATGTTGCTTAGCCTACTCCGCTCGAGTGCATTATTTAGAAACGTACAACCTTTTTGTTGCATAACAAAAAAATTAAATAAATAAAACCCTGTAAGTGATGGGGAAAATACTGACGAAACCTGTATTTTCTAGAACATATAAACCTGTAAAACCTGTAAAAAGTCATTAACATTTAATATTTGTAAAAATTAAAGGACATATCAATAAAAACTCGACAAAGAATCATGACGACAGCACTGAAAAAGACAACAATAAATACAAATAAAAGTATACTACTAATAATATCATGCTAATGGAATTATTATAACAAGTAATACTTGTAAAGAAATTTGTTAAACAAATGCTATTTAATTGGATAAAATGTAAATGATAATTATTTGTGTGTATGTGATTAAAGTACGTTAGCGATTATTGTGACAGCAAATTTGGAGTACCTTCCACGAGACAACCTATGGGACCGGTAAAGGCTGGGCAGGTGAGGAAAGATGTCCATTTGTTGGTAAATAATCAATATCTCATAAGAAAACAGGCGAGGACATGAGGACATTGAGATTGAAATTATATAACTGGTCCATCGATTCTTTAAAAGAGACAGTCTGTCACTTCAATTACTGTTGCTCAAGAACAAGTGCTCGAACAAAACAAGCACAAAAACCGAAATCTACAAACAAGCATGGATTAAAGTAAAGATAAATGCAATTGATCTTATTCGGTAAAATGGAAGAAATCCGTTTAAGCGTTCAGACAATAACAGCAATATTCGGTATAATTTCTTCAAATCACAATATCATGACATTTAATATCGATATTCGACCTCTGATCCTCTATTCTTTCTGCCGTCAAGTTATCACACGTACTGTTTTAATGGATTCAACATAGGCTAGATATTCTAATATGACACACGAGGATATTATTTTCGTCAAAGAAAGAATTTAGATTTCAGCAGGTGCTTAAATGCGTAATCACATGAATAGTGTTTATGCGTCATGTCAACGTACGGCAAATGTCTCAAAGTTCATCAAAATAGACCTCTACAGCAACCATAGCCATATTAATAATAATTAAAAAATAATAATAAACTAGTAACACAATGACAGAACAATGTTACCCACACAAATACTATCAACAGTATAATAATGCGGTAAACAATAACTAAATAACATACATTTTAAAATAAAATACATAAACACGTAAAATAAGTGTAAATAACATATCAAACATTACAAAAACATTAGTCTACTTTTTAAATAGAACGCAAACAAACATGTTTCTGTGAAGGCCCCTTACCCATAATTTTTTTTACATTTTACCTAATACATATTTTACCATAAAAGTGAATGTGTTGCCTTGTTAAATATATAGACTATATATATATATATATATATATATATATGGTATTTTAAAATATATTTACCGTTTCTGGTAAGTTAATTTAATGTACGTAAGGTACGTACGGTAAGGTAATTAGCATTTTGTACCTTAGCATTTTACGTTCTTCTTCCGTTAAAATGCCCGTGTTCATAATGCTGTGTGACTGTTTCTTACAGGCTCGTGTGGTGCTGAAGGAACAGCGCCCAGCACAGCTTCACTCACTCAACCGCCTTCAGCTTTTAACGCTTATTTACTCTAAAGGATGTATTTGATTAGCCAGTCAATTAAGAGATGGCTACCATGGCAGGCCTTCCTGGTATATCTGAAATATACCAATTAACTCTCGTTTCGTCCGATACTGGTTTTAAATCTTTGTTTTAGCCTATCATTCAACGCATTCTCATTTAGATCTCGTTGTCGTGCAGGCTTCTATTTTCGAATGTTTTCTTCTTTCATAATTACCCATATGTTGTTTTAAAAGCACCTTATTCGTTTGAATAATAATATTTAGATCCATACTGCAAGAACAGATTATTCTTAAAAACAATCCTCACTTAATCCATCATTTATACGCCAAGGGGGGTTGAGTAGCAATATCTTTTAATCTACTATCATTTAATGAAATTAAGCATTCGCCACTGACAGACCTATATATTACCTGCTTAACCTTTTGGCCATTCTTCAAAAAAATGAAAATAAATAAAGTGGTTCATTTTCTTTCAAATTATTTTCCAGCGTTTTATTCAGTCAAATGCCCTTTGTTATTTTATTACGCACGGATCTAGTGACTAAAAATATGTTTTCTCTTCTTTACAACAGATAATTGCAAGAGGTAAAAACAGGTCCGATCTGAACAAGATGAAGTTCATCTGTACATTTCTGAAGCTCGCCTGTGAATAATTAGGTCAGGAATTTATCCAATTCAAACTCCATCTTGATTGTGAGATCAGATATAGGCCTAACACAGATTAATTTGCGACTGATAAGGACCAGATGCGAAGATAATAGGCAATGCCATTTATTTTAATATTAAATGTTCATGTACTGTATCTAGATGGTCTTATAATCTCTATTTCACTGAGACAAATAATATGCACTCTGCTCCATTTAACCACTGCGTTATATTAAAATCGGATGAAATTTTTTTTTTCTTTGTTTAGTTTCTAGGACCTTTTAGACATGCTGTTCCCTAACCACAACACACACAACTTAATAAAAGAAGTGCAATGCAACATAGCCAGTTGTGCGATCTAACATTAGTCTTACTAACAAACAGTCAGGCTGGGTTTATTTTTTTATTTTATTTTGTGATATTATAAAGCACTGCACTTACACCAGACACATTTTTACGATGCTATGGCATGAAATGTGTTCCAGAGCTCAGTTACGACCAGATTCACGAAGAAAAAAAAGAACATTAATCGGTTCTTACAAAATTACATTTTGGATCTAATGCACGAGATTAAACCAGAATTTGACGATATCTACAGTTAAAGCTATTTACATAAAGAATAAAGCTCTATGCGTCTGATCAAATTTGACCACCCAGATAGTAACTCACATTTAATTCCCCAGTGGAGTTTAATTAAAAGCTATATGTTATTCAACAGTGGTGGCCTGCAGACGCCCGGAGGAGGCCTGCCAATTTTCTGATGAACTAATCAATAAGCAGAAGAAAAAGCCCTTACGTTGCAGTGGCACTCCGAGGATGTCCGGCAGACCCTTCACCGCGCTCTCGCCGGGCAACACAGCCGCACTTTGCATCATTTTCATCCAGTCCGATAAAACGCGCACATGCACCCGCTCGCGGAGGTCTGAGAATCTCAGATGTGCGTAAAATAATTTCTCTCCCCGGATAGTGTCCTTTTACAGTCCTCGCGCCTGTGGTTATCCTCGTGAAATAGTCGAGCGCCCGTGCGTTCTTACGCTGTGTCACACAAACCGCTTGATTCATTCACACTGCAGGGGCGGCCCGAACGTCACTCCCCTGGGGGGCCAATGGGAGGCGTGGACGGGAGCGAGAGGGGCGGGAACTTGTGCGCTTTGCGCTCTCAGGTAAGTAGAAAAAGCGATAAGGAAGTGATGACGATAAATACAGTGCCACTACTGAAACCTCAGGATCTGAAGTGACCTGGCAAGGGTCAGTCCAGCAATAACGTAAATATTAGGCCTACGTGAATATTTAACACGTAGTTTTAATTCAGTGTTGCTTTAGTGGATACTTACGCAAACACCTCGAATACGTAGGCCTACATTGGGATGTACTGGGATATGTAGCATATGTAGACATAGCCTAGCTAGACTGTAAAAATATTAATAATTAAAAAAAAGTAGTAAAATATTAGTAAACCTTGTTAACTGATTGCCTTCTAAGTTACCTGACCATATAGGCCTACTGTAAAATTAAAAATAATAATAAAATGTTAATTTTAAAAGACAATATTTTTACTATAAGAAATTGTAAAGAAAATTAAAAAGGAAAAGAGTATGAGTTAGTTATAAATTATCCTCCACGTTCTGAGAAAATTTCAACAAGGCAACACGTAGGCTAGGCTACTGTAAGATAACATAAACAAAAATTAGCCTATAGCGAATTCCATCCGTGAACTAGTTTAATTTTTTTTAAAGTAGCCTAGTTTCTTTTTAATCTATTTTTAAATCTAATAACCCTCTTTTCCTTACGTTACACAAAATAGCTCTCTTAATTTTGCCCTGTTGACCTGAACAGTTCACAGAACAAACACGCTCAACAGTGCCTGGAATACGTTTGCTAAAAATACAAACTCAAGTAAGCCTTTACTTTGTTTACCAGCAGTCTCGACACAGTCTATCCTGACAGGACTCATTTCATTCGAGCTTTTCTCCCTCCGGAGAGAGCGGAGTTCAAGCGAGATGAACTCAATCTTCACTTCCAATTCTCTTCATGGACAGTATAACGCGGCGCGTGAGCTCGCGAGCTCTGACAGCCACCGCTTCCTGAAAACGAGCTTCAGAATGGAGCAGTCAGTCTCATCATCGTCAGTCTCGCTGCTTTTGTATCACGTATGTCTTTAGTGTTTCTTTTCGTATACCTCACTCCTCTCGCGCTCAATCAAATATTTGTTATATTACGATATATGTGCTAGAAGCTCTGTGAGATGCGTAGAATCAAGAAGATATAGTAAACGGCTGGTGCGCGACAGACCAAACTGTGAATATACTGCAAATTGTAGTTTGCTGTAAACAGAAATTTTACTGGCATTTATAAATTATAAATAGTATCTATACATTATTTTACATTTAAAAAAAAATTGAAAAGAAAGGTTAAGCCAAGTCTTTCAAATGGCTTTTAACTAGTTTAATCATTTCATAATTCGTTTCAATTCTATCCAAATGCATTATGTAATTCTATCTACCTTCTAACAAACAATTCTACCGATTTTATATCTCTCAGTCTGCTGGACAGTCTTGTTGAAACCAGTTAATGCCCTATTTCAGCATATTGTACACTCTCAGAAAAAAAGGTACAAATGCTGTCACTGGGGCGGTACCTTTTCAAAAGGCACACCTTTGTACCTAAACAGTCCATATTGGTACCTTAAAGGTACATATTAGTAACTAAAGTGTACATATTAGTACCTAAAAGGTACAAAAGTGTACCTTTTGAGAAAGTACTGCCCCAGTGACAGCCTTTGTACCTTTTTTTCCTGAGAGTGTACTTTGTATACTGCTCCTCTGTGGGTTAAGTTTAAGAAAGAGAGCCTAAGCTTCAGGTTGCGTACAATGACTGTATGAGGATCCTGCTGAA